GATAGCATTGGGGGGGGGGACTGTCTTTGTGTCTAGTTGTTTTGGTATGCAATGCCCTATAGCATCGTCTTGAGGGAAGAAGTTGAAACAGTTTATGTCCAAGATCTGAGGGATCTGTAGATATTTTCACAGCCCTCTTTCTGGTTCATGTATTGTATAGGTCTTCAATGAAGGCAGACTGATTGCAATTATTTTTTCTGCATTCCTATCTTATATGTGGAATATATACAGAGGGAAGCTTAATTGGAAGGTGTGTGTGCTTTTAAGTGGAAAGAAGGAACATCAATAACCTCTGTAGTGTAGTGTAGTGGTGACACTACACTGTAGCTGAAAAATACAAATTATCTGCAAGTTCTAGTAATGAAAGTCAAGGAGCACAATTTAAAAAATGGGACTAAAATGAAATCTCAAATAGACCATACTATGGATAACAGACACAGCAACCAGTCTTGGAATTAAGAAAGAAGATACTGAAGTGGTGGATAGCTTCTATATTTTAAGTCAATTATCAACAGGAATATGCTGCATATTAGCACTTGGTAGAGTAACAACTTGGAAAAGCTATGCAGACATAGGGATATCTCTATATCTATCGAGATTATAATCACAAAGGCAACAAGTGATGCTCTATGGAAGTGAGAATTGGACTTTAAAAAAGCAGGATAGAAAGAATATTGATTCTTTTAAACTGGTATTGGAGGAAAGTCCTGAGAATATCATGCATACTCAAGCAAATAAATAAAACTACCATTGTGCAAATCTTCCTAATGTTCTCACTTGAGATACAAATGAGCAGGTTCAAATTATCACAATATGCACACATGATATGAAGACCTAGCTCTCTGGAAAAATCTATAATGCTGAGAAAAGATAGAAGGAAAGACCAATAAGCAAGGTGGATGGACTGAACTGCAGTGGCAACCAATTCACCACTGGAAAACATAAAGGACAAGGCTGTGGACAGATCCACCTAGAAAAATTCTATTTTATATGATTGCTAAGAGTTAACACAAGCCTGATGGCACATGAGCAATCATCAGTGCTCACATACATTATACACACATAACTGAGGCTACATTAAAAAAATATTGTCATGGGTGGCATGCTACTTTGTGGGAAGAAAGACATTTAGTCCAGCAACACTTCTGGAAGCATTATATTAGGAGAGCATTATTGGATATCTGGAAAAAAAAAAAAAAAAAGAAATTATATGAAAATCCCCAATTGGGTGTCTACATTAGAAATGTACACACATCCAAATTTGATAAAACGTGGGGGTGCTGTCACCTATAAAGATATTTTGAATGAGAAAGGAGAATTAAAAGCGAGAAATATCTTAAAGGAAGAAGGAATTGATCTGGAATGGTGGGCGTATCTTCAAGTCCAATCCAAATTTAATAAAGAAAAAAAAAAAAACGGGGCATAAAGCAAGACTCTTCAGAATTAGATAAAATCTTATTTAGTAGGGAAGGCAACACTATAAGTAAACTATATCGATATTTATTAGAGCAAGATATGATTGAGGAACAGGTGAAAGAAACAATGATAATTTGGTATAAATATTTTGGGCAAAATATTGATTTGGATAATTGGCAAAGTTTATGGGAAAAAAATCTAAAAATTACTCTAACAACCTCCTATAAGGAAAACCTCTATAAGATGTTTTATAGGTGGCACCTCCTCCCACAAGATTAGCACGAATGAACAAGGGGAAATCCTCAATATGCTGGAAGTGTGGAGAGTCCATTGGGAATTACTACCACATGTGGTGGCAATGCCCAAAGGCACCAAAAGTTTGGAACTTATTAAAGAAATGGCTGGAAGAAATTTTGCTAATATAGAGGCCAAACCAGAATTTTTTTATTGGAAATTATAGAAAGAAAATATAAGATACAAATTATTTACTATTGTATATAGTAACAGCGGCACGAATAGCCTTCACTCAAAAGTGGAAAGAGAAAGATACTCCAGCCGAAAAGGAAATATTACTGAAAATTTTCAATTGCGCTGAATTGGTAAACTTACATGGGAACTCAAGGATAAAGTACTACAAAATCTGGGAACAATTTTAGGATTGGATAGGCAATAAGCGGGTAGCCAAGACAAATGTATAGCGTTAGAATAAAATATAGATTATAGACAAATATATATTTAAAAGATAACTAGATATACAGAAATAAGGGAAAAAATGTTAATATTATATTATAAATAGTGATCAAAGCTCAAGAACTTTATGTCTAGATGAGTACTAATACTACTATAAAATGTCGGAAGATGTATGGAACCAGTGACGTCATATCTACGTCCAATGTGTTTTTAATTTTGTATTATTAATAAAAAATTTATAAAAAAAAAAATACTGTCATGTAAGGTAACTGTAGTGATTTCCGTGTTTTTATACCCTTGAAGATCCTCTTTTGAAATTCTGTAAATGTATATCCCACAAAAGTCTAAAATATGGCAGTAAATGTAGGCCAGTGTGATTAATAGTTAAATGGTTGGAGTGGGGTGGTCCAGATTCTAGACCACATTCAGCCATGAAGCTCACTGGATAATTAAGGAGCAATCAGTTTCTTCAGCCCAACCAACTTTACCAGGTGTTGGCTGTAGAAGAAAAATAATCTGAGCTTTGTTATGTGCATATACTAGAAGCAAATAGAATACTAGTAGAAATAGAAATATTAGCTACTAAACTCCTATCGTCTGACAAATATTTTTATAATTTATATGTTTGATGAGTGGCATTTGGGCAACTTATGGCATCACCACGAGAATTCTATGAAAGATCAGGATCAGCAGCACTGTTTTTAATCTGACAAATAGTGTTGCCTACATGTGAATCTATACATGACTTGTCCGTGCATAAAAATAGATACATGTGATATCAGGAGTTTTTAACTTTGGGCCTAATGTCTGAAGAAACATACTTTTCTACAGATAACACAATTCAACCTAAACTAAAGCCCATACTTTTTGCACAATCTAGCCAAGTGCAAGAGGCCTTTTGGTTTTTGACATCAGACAAAGGCTCCCTTGATCAAGTCATTGTGTACCCCAAAGGTAGCATATCCTCTTCAGAAGGCACCTAGCATTATGTGTTTATTTATGTAGTATAAAATACTAAATAATATTGAGGCTAAGGCTTATTTGGCATGATGGCCCAAGCTGTACAAGATGATTTAATACAGCTTGGCTTTTCAGTGTCTTCCAATGTCTTATGACAGGATACTAAAGATTCTTGCAAAAATTGATCTGATCATACCATCAACCCTATGGATAAAGTGAAAAGCATAATTTTACACATTGTAGCAGGACATCTACCATGCCAACCAATTATTGTGATCAAGCACCCCAGGTGCTGTGAGTACTTGTCAGGCCTACTTATTTAGTTCAAAGACTTGGAATTCTTTGATGAAAGATTGCTTCACATGAAAGATGTCAAGAGTCAGCCAGTTATAGTTTATTCTGTTTATAATTGTAAAACATATCTTGCTTACAATGCATATTTAATTGTTGAGTTCATTTATATTAACAACATTCATGTAGCAGGTGTAAATCTCAAGTAAATGTCTTGAATGACCTTTGTGAAATCAACAATTATTGAAGAATAAAGGATGGGGAATTAGAGCATCTGCAGGTGTAACATACAAATCGTCAAAACATATACAAGCCCTTACTTTGAAAATCCCAGTCAAATAATTGCTACATATGTATTAATAATGTTGAGATCCATAAGTTTAATAGTCTCAGCCTTGAACATTTCTGGGAATTGATGTTTCTTGCAACATACCTTATTTTCAGAGATACTATGAGGAGCTGGGTAGAAATTTATCTTATTTGGAGGAAATTCTATACATCAAAATGCAGTTAACTGGGAATTGCTACTGAGGATAAACGCCCACATTGCTCAAGACCTTCTGAGAATATGGCTTACCCAAAGGCCTTACCACGAATAGGCTATTAACTTACTTCACACACACTCTTGATGGGAGTCATAAAAAGTGAAAGTCAAAATGATGGCTCTTGATGGCGGTCCCTAAATGCATCTCACAAGTATTTGACTGCTAGCCATAGTCCAGATTACCCAGAGCTTTGCTCCCTGAACAGCAATACTGTTGCTATTGCAGTACTACTCCATTTATTTAGCAAAGACAAGCTATATAACAGAACTGTTTTTCCTTCATGGACTTCATTGCCTTTTAGGAAATCTGAGGTGGGGCTTTATGTTGGATTGAAGTAGAGTGTATGCAGTGAAAATAATGCATGATCTTATCATTAGCAATTGTAAGCAACATGAACAGAAGATTGATGATCAAAGGTATCTCAGGTACAGGACATCAACACTCTAATAGTTTGGCTATTTCTAATGATTCCAGATTTCCCTCATCTTTCCTGTTAAATCCTCTCTCCCACTTCCTGTCATTTCCTAAATCCTGTCCCTATTTATCCTAATTTATCACTTTCTTTTCCAACTTCAAATCTTTTCTCTTTTAATTTTTTCCCCTGCTATCCAGTTTTTGATAACATGCTTTGCAAATACATCCTACCTCACCTCTCTCCTACAAATATTTTCTTTTGTATTTAATCAATTGCTTCCCCCATGCCTTCTTTCTTTCATTCTTTTGGAAGAATACAGTTAAATTTAAAAGCTTTTTACTACTTTTAAATCCTTGGAACTTACAAAAATTCCATTTCTCTTTTTTGATTTTGGTTTCCTTTGGATTTTTTTTTTAATTATAAAAAATTATCGTCTTTTGTGTTTCCCTTGCCTCCCTACCCTCTAATCCACCCTGATGTGGCTGTTGCTTTAATTACTTTCCCATTCATTTATTTTTATCCCTTGCCTTCCTTCCCCCTCCCCCTCTGTCCTTGTCTCTGTGTCACCCAAACCTCACCCTGACCCATTTCCAATCCGGCCCCTTTTCCCTTCTGTCTCTTCTTGGTTGATTTTCCTTGTATATTTTTTCTTTTTGATTTCCTTTGTTTCAATTTTCGTGTAGGGCAGTAGTTCCGTAAGTGGGAGTCCAGTCCTCTCAACGTCTGGCACCAGCACCCCGAGGCGAGGACGCCGGCAGCTCCCACAGACCCCTTCTACACCCCGGCCACATATCTCCTACTCCCCCGTGGTCCGTAAGGCCATCAACACAGGGGGCCAGCAGCAACCGCCGTCGGTGCACCCCAGCCGAATATCCAGCCCAGCCCCTCGGCGCTACCCCTCGCTGCCTGCCGAGCACCACGTCTCCGAGCGGCGCAGCCGGTCTCCGACTATGGAGCGACACACTGTCCCGCCGCGAAACGATTCACCTCGTGGCTACCGCCATGCTAGTAGCCGGTGGTCAGTGCCACACGTCTCTGAGCCCCCGCCGGGGCCTCGCCACGGCAGCGGTTACCACCGGAGTCGGGACTACGGCAGCCCCACCGGCGAGGAAGCCTTTCCCTACGAGGCCATGCAGCAGCAGCAGCAGCAGCCGCCGCCGCCACTGCAGGGGAGCAGCTCAGGACGTTCGCCCAGAACTTCCCGGGTGGGCGGCGGCTCGTCCTCTCTCTCCCCCTACAGACACGGGCGACGGCTCCCCAATGGATACTATCACTCACACGGACCAGCCAAGTCGCGCGGGACAGGGTCTCGCAAAGGACTGCACGAACCTTACAGCGAAACTGACGAGGACGACTGCTGCTAGCCTACAAGTGGCTTCACCCGACACGTGCGCGCATGCGCCACACACGCACTCCACACACAGACCCCGAAGGGAGGAGATTTTCCCCAGGTTGGAGGGGGGAAGGCGAGAGGAGGACGGAAAAGCGAAACGAACTGCCGGCCGATGGCGGAAGATATCCCGGAGGAGAATCCTGCAGTTGTTGGAGGGGGAAAAAACTTTTTATCTTTTGTTGGGGGAATCTGGGGTCGGGAGGGAGGAAGGGTCTGGGGTTGGGGGGGAGGCTAGGGAAGCGAGGGGTCCGGGAGATCAGAGCATGCTTATCTTTTACAGATCAAGTTGTGTGTGGTGAGTGATTTGAGGGTGGGAGGGAGGGGCGTCACTCAGAATTTACAAAAGAAAACGCACTCAGGTGTGGGGGAGATGGGGCCACCGCCCGAGAGCCCCGGCCTTCACTTAACTCTGCCTCTGCAAAGCAAGACCAGGAGCCGTTTTCCCCTGGGGTAGATGGGAGAGGCAGGAGGCGTCTGTCGACCTTAGCAAAGACATTCTAGAAATGTTTAAGAAACAAAAAAAACCTTTTAAAAAGATGCAAAAGTAAACAAAAAGACAACCCTGGGCTTCTATTGATGAGTTTTATCATCTCAATTTACCTGATTAACTTAATGTTTTAAAAAAAAAAGTTTGCGACCTGACATTTTAAGAGGGTGTTATGCACACAAATACACATCCCCAACACACATATATCACACACACACACACACACACACACACACAGAGGAGTGCTTGCTGGTTATACCAAACCCTAATATTACTGCCTGCAGAGATAATAAAAAAAAGAAATAATACAACAAAAAAACAAAAAAGGACAAAAATAATTGATAAAAATTAAGCATTTTCTTCTGATATTTTGGTCCTGCTTGACAAAGAAATGACATCAGAATAATAATTCCTCAGCTTCTTTATTTCTTTTTTCCTACTTGTTTGGAAAAAAAAAGTTGAAAAAAACCTGTGGGATTGGGACTGTGAAATATTGCATGAAACAAAGTAAAAAGACAAATGAAAAAAATCTCTAAAATCCTTTAAAAAAACAAAAATATTAAAAATGAATTTTTGATTGAAATGTGCTTTATTGTTAATTTCCCCATACTTGATTCTCATTCCTCCTCTCACCCCTTCCTCTTATGATTATCTAATGCTGTATGAAAGGATATGTATTGGAATGCATGACCGATAATCATTGTTCTTTTGCTGCTTTCTAAGATGAAAAGTATGAACAAGTTGTTAAGCAGAAGTTGGTCAATGAGAATCCTTGGGTTAGATACTCTTTTTAAAATATCTATATAACAATTTCCTCATTTGCCTATATATTATTAGCATTTACCCACAAGATTGGGTAAACTAATTTATCCTGCCAAAGCCTGGCAAACTTCTAAATACAGTGAAACCTCGTTTTAGCTGAGGGGTGCCCTCATTTATGAATGCCCATTAAATAAGAAATTATGTAATTTGTGTCATTTTGCATCATTTGCATGACTTTTTATTGCAATATTCTTTAAAAGTACACAAAAATAATGGACAAAATATTTTTTTAACAAATGGAAATATAAATGGACTGGTCCAACAGATAATCAAGCTATATTACAAATATAATGCCACTTGCACGATGATGACATTAAGCAAATTACATAAATCACTAAGGAAATTTGGTCTGCTGCATGTGAAGTCTGCTGCATGGACCTTACCTTGGTCCAGTAAATCGAGATTTCACTGTATATTTTATTCCCTCCTTGAAGCCTTTAGAATCAGTATCACGATCCAGATTATTGTTTGAAGGGTCAGAGAATGACTAGGTATATAGCAAGGACACTTAAATGAAATTCACTAGGGAACATATAATCAAAAAGTACTCATATGGCCACCTATTGTTGTGTCAACCCAATTTTTTACATTAGAATCAATCAACACTAGTCTACAAAAAATCAAAATCTAATACAATCCCATTTATCCTATGTCGACAGAGTTTCATTTTACATAGTATGTGGTAGCCAATGGATATTTGCTATATGGTGAATATGCATACACATGTATATATGCAAATCAAGGCCTATAATGATTTTGTGGTATGTTCATTTGTAGGCTTGCACAATGATCTTAAAGGAAGAGAAAATGCTTAATGTGCTTGTGTGGGAACCCCGGGAAAAATAATACTTCTTTAAAATGTTCCCAAAAGATGTGACATAAGTACTCATGTGCATGCCTACTCATTTTTCCCATTGAATCCACATCCCCACATCCCTACTTCAAACCAATACTGTTCACATATAAGCATTGCACTTATTTACACATATACTGCAGTTCCTGACTGGAATACTGATAAAACATTTATGAGGGCATTCTCACAGTATGGCAGAGTGTATTAATAATCTTAAAGACTTTTACAAGAATAGTATCCCAATGACAAGAAGTATTAATGGCATTGAAACAACAGTTGATGTAAACTAGGGAAATTCAAGTGGAATCTACAAAATTACCAATACAGTGTGCATTGGAATTAAGAGATGTTATCACTGGGGTCAGAATTACAACTAAAGTCCCAACAAGACTAAAAGACAATCTGGCCTTCAACATGTCAGTATTTTAAATCAAAGAATAACCTTTTTATGCAATATTTTTTTAATCTAACAAGAAGGATGTATCTCAGGAGTCCCAACTACACTGAGTTGAAAATAAATGCAGAGTGTATGCATCTTTATATTTATCACTGTCAAATCAGTAAAGTGAATGGTTATATGTGGGTACATGGAAGAAAATTAGAACCAATAACTTGGTACAATGGCTATAGAGTTCTGAACTGTCTTTTAAGGCTTTAAGCTCATCTACAATTAAGATGCTGTTATGGCAACCACATGATAATTCTTCAGCACATTCCTACCTTGTAAATCACTGTAACACTTCCCTACTCTGAAATATCTGTCTAAAGATGAGTTGCAATCTGTACACGTGTTGAAAGATTTATAAGAACATATCTATTTCCAAAATTATTACTCCATTTGTCAATATTCTGAAATTGCTCATCAATTGCAACTAATATCTTCATTAACAACTGCCTATCAAAACGGCTCTCAAAACTGAAAGCCAACCTGGATGTAAAGAAGGCTCTATTATATCATAACTCAGAATCAAAAGGGTCAATGCTAGCAGCACAAAGGAGTAAGCAAACTTGGCTAGAAAGTACACATCTGTTATCTCCAGAAGATAAGGCACAGGCACGAGTAACATCAAACTCTTCTATTTAAAAAACCCCAACTTCTAGATGGATACCTTTTAAATGCTATACAATTATTTTTAAAATAAATCATATATTGAAAATATGAAAAATGTCTTGGAATTAGTGCAGATGAAAATCATTATAATCTTATATCCACCTAAGCCAGTGGTTCTCAACCTGTGGATCGGGACCCCATTTGGGGTCGAACGACCATTTCACGGGGGTCGCCAAACAACGCAGTCCGCCATTTTTTTCCCCTTTTCCTTAGCTGTGCTACTCCCTTTTATTCTATTGGCTTTTGAAAGCCAATAGAATAGACTCTCTTGAATAGAGTCTAATTCTATTGGCTTTCAAAAGCCAATAGGAATTGTCCAGGCTGTCTCTGCCCTGCTGAGCCCGCCAAAAGTCCCATTCTGCAAACGGTGCTGCAGAATTGTTGAGTAGTCCTCGACTTACGACCGGTTGAGAACCACTGACCTAAGCCCAATGTCTTTAGCAGACCTTGATCATGTATTTGAGTACTGTAAGATGCAATTCTACTTGGAACTGTGCATTATATAGATTTTTTTTCTAGACAGATAATGCCCAGGTCACTTAAGTTTTTATGTTATGGATTACTGTTTGTATCCTATCAATTTATTAAGATGTTAATAAGGTACTATTAATAAGGAAGAGGTTCCCTCAGATTATTTCCTGTGAGTCATCTCAGATTAACCGAGAATAGACAAAAAGAAATCATATTTTTCTGTCAGATGGGTGTGTTTGGGGGCAGAAGTATTGCATTAAATTTTAGATCCGTGCATTTGGGTAAATTTGGTAATATTAAGAAACCTGTAGTTTTCTGTAGGTTTTCATTTTGATAACATTAAAGTTTAGAAAGATAATTTTTGTTTGCTTTCCAACTATGATTTTATCTTGATTTTCATGCAATAAGTATAGATCTACAGCTTATTTCCATGGATTTTATATAGTGAAAAATGAGGAACAAAAACTAGCTGGTTGTAAATACCAGTTGTAAAGTCTATTTAGTGTCACTTGTAGCTTGCATTTGGAAACATGACCAAATGTAATTAGATATTAAGTGGAATAGATATATGAAAAACATGTCCTGTTCTTTAAATCATCTAGGTTACTGACCTAAATTACTCTGAATTAATTACACAAATTAGCTACTATGAGAACGGAAGTATAGCCATCAATATGGAACATGTTAGAAATAATTGTTTCAATTATAGCACAGGGTGCTAAGGTAGAAACCTCTTACACAGAAAGGGGGAATGTTCTAAACAGGGACCTATGAAAAGGGTTCTCCGAGAGCAGAAATTATAAAATTATCCATGCTGTTCAGTTCATGAGACCTGATTTCTAATATTTCCAAGATTGAATTTAGCACTAGAAGTGACTTGTTTTTTTTAAAGTCTCTTGCTGTCAATCAAAAAAAAAATAGGCAATGCTAAAAAAAATCTCCAATCCAGATAGTGACCAGGATTACTCTGCTGATGCAGATGACCAGGCTGAGCCCAAGGGAGGAGTCAAATGCCTCATAAGTCACAAGTCCCTGCGTGCCCGCAAGAGATCTAAGTCCAGTCTACCTTGAATGCCTTTCTTATCTCCCACTCATTTCCCTTGACTGCTAGTTGGTCAGATTCTTGTAGAGAGCTTAAACTTGCAATAAATCGTTATACTCATTTGAACTGCCTGAATCACCTGATGTCCCCAGCACTTGACAGCTTAGCTGACAAGAAGTCAGATGTTGCCACTTGCTGAGACATCTTTGAAGTGCTTATCAGTAAAATAGTCTCTAAGCACAGCCCAAAAAAAAAATTGTGCAAAGCCAAAAAAAAAAAAATTGTGCAAAGTTATTAATACAGCCATCCATCCAGTGCTCAAAGGAAAATGTTTTATTGAAGGCGTTCTTTTTCCTTTAAGATTCTGCCAGTGCAAAAAGAATGTTATTCTTT